CACGCAGCCGATGCCGCACCTCCTGCAGCACACAGATTGCGCCTCGCAGCCTACACCGCACAGCTTGCACTGCACAGGTTGCGCCACGTAGCTTGCACCACAGAGACTTCACCTCACATCACATCGCTCAAAAAGCTGCAGTGCAATCCGTCGGCCCCCTTGTGAGGCGATGCTGCTCCGGAGCGGACGTTTCCTGAAACGAGCCCCAGTTTCAGTTTACAGTCTCCAATGTTCTAGTCAAAATCCTACTGTCTGCTTCCGAGGTACTGTAAGTTATTACTGTCCGCGCGATGGGGGGAGCTGAAAATGAGCCTGGTCACCACGCCCGAGTCGCGTGCTCGAAATTTCTGGGGGGGTCTTGGGACACGTAAAATACATGAAGTTCGCGGCCCCGAAACAATATCCCCTAGCAGATTGCACAAGAGCCGAGCTCCCCAGGCCAGGATCCTTTTAATTTGCGCCAGGACTGGGCTCCCGAGGCCAGAATCCTTTGTTCACTACACCGGATTCGCGCCCTCGAGGCCAGACTCCCGAGTCGATCACGTCAGCCTCGCGCTCCCGAAGCCAGAGTCCGTTCTGAACAATTACGCCACAGGTTCGCGATCCCAAGGCTAGAATACCTTGCACATTGGGCAAGACTCGCGCTCCCGAGGTCTTGCAAATCACTCAAAGTTCGCATCCCGGAGCCAGAATCCACTGGCAATGGCACCAGAGAGTCGCGCTCCCGAGGCCAAAACCCTCTGCAACTTGCGCCAGAGGTTCGCGCCTCTGAGGTCAGAGTCCTTTCTGAAAAGCGCACGCCAGATTCGCGCTCCCGACGCCAAAGTTCCCGTAAATCACGCCAGCGGCGCGCTCTGAGAAAGAAAGAGGGCGTTCCACAACAGCCTTCGACAACTCAGGGTGCTCTTGCCAAATGCCAGCCGCCCTCGCATAACATCCCCAGCAGTTTTCAGAACAGCGTGGACACGTACCAGCAGGATCCTCCTCCTCCTCCTCCTCCTCTATCCTCTATCCTCTATCCTCTATCCTCTATCCTCCTCCTCCTCCTCCTCCTCCTCTTCCTCCTCCTCTGACATCTCCCATGATAGTAGAAAGGACACCGGCGGCGGAGGGCAGAGTCGACCCTGGCCTCCGAGGGCCCAGAGAGCCCCTCCGAGGAGGCCTCAAGAAGCCTCCCCGAGAAGTCCGACCCACAGCCCACGCACGGCGGCGGGATGGGCAGAGGGACCTGCGCGGCACGGGGACAGGAAGCGCGTGTGCCCTGTGATGGCGCGAGATCGCGTGCTCAGTGTCTTGGAGCCCTCTTGATGTTCAGACTTTGGCACGCCATACGAAAAATATTAAACAAACAACCTTGCGAACATCGATGTCTATGGCTTCTCCAAGCCAACAGCTTCACAGATGGAGAGCTGGTGGTTTTCAAACTGTGACTCTCGCCTTAGCGTCGCGCACACTCGTTGTAAAGATTTGCAAGAGCTTCACGGATTGAGGGCGGTTCCTTTTCAAAATGTGGCTCTCGCCATAGCGCCACGCACATTCGTTGTACAAGCGCACAAGTTCCGCTGTTTGAAGCTGGTTCCTTTTCAACATGTGGTTCTCGCCTTAGCGCCGCGCACATTCGTCTTAAGAAATAGCTAAAGTTCCACGGATTGAGGGCAGTTCCTTTTCAAAGTGTGGCTCTCGCCTTAGCGCCGCGCGCATTCGTTCGCAATGTTTCAAAAGTTCATGGGCTCCCATGATCAACGTACTAGAAATGATGTTTTGGAAGGACTCAGGTTTATGAGGGTGCACGTGTTATGCTGACTCGCGGTGTTCAAGTCCCAGGAATGGCGTTCTGGCAATATCCAGGATAGTCAAGACGCAACAGCCGAGTTGATCCGTGGCGTTGGAATCCCGAGAACGATGTTTTGGTATGCTGCAGGGTCTTCAAACAGTTGTCTTCCAACGAGGTAGTTCCCTCAGTAAACATATGAACCTTTGTAGGGGCCTATGAAGAGGGAGTTTGGAGGGAGGGTTTATCCCAACATCGTTGATGATTCTTGGGTTTACAATGGTCCTCCTCCTCCTCCTCCTCCTCTTCCTCCTCCTCCACGTCCAAGTCGGGGGATTGGCGGCAGCGGACCCACAGGTCAAGTGGAGAGACTCTCCAGGACGGGTCCGCGACTCTAGTCGGGGCCCCAAGCAAGCGCGCCGAGTGATAAATATAAAAACACACAAACCCTGGCCCCGAAAGGGCACGCAGAGAAGATGGGCTCAACATAATAGAAAACCAGACCTCCGACGTCAGGTTTTCGGTTTTCGTTGGCGACGCAATCCCGCGCACGGATTTTGCGCCGTGGGCGATTTCCTGAAGGACTCGGGTCTCAAAACAAGCTTCCTGGGGGGCAAAACTCGAAAATTCGGCCGTGCTGTGTTCTCAAGACGCCGGAGGTCTCTGTAGAGCTGAGAGGACTGCTTCGAACAGCCAGAATTTCAACGCCCCTCTAGGTAATCAGAACGCGTATAAGTAACTCGCCGAAGTGGGCGGTCAGCGCTCAACTCCCATGTCCTCCTTGGAGACTGAGGAGAAAGTGGAGCAGAGAGGGCGGGAGACAATTCTTTAACATCAATGAGCGGGGGGTGTTAGGACAGGGGACACATGCGGAGGCGAAGAGCCTCCTGCAAACGGAAAAGGAAAAGGTACGGGGCGCCCCGCTGACAACCCGCGGAGCGCCCCACTGACATTCCCGCGGGATCTCACTGACAAATCACGGACAATCTCAACGACAGCCCACCGACAGCCCTCTGACAGCCCCGCCAGCAAACCGCTGACAACTCCACCGAAAATCCGCTGACAGTCCACTGACATCCCAATGGCAACCTGTTGGCAACGTCACTGACACCCCCAATTGCTGCAAGCGGCGGCCCATGAGGAGTTCGCGGGAGGGCCGAACGCACGCACGACGCTCTCAATGACCAGGCGCGCAGATCACAGCACTAGGCGGAGGGGGGGCGGGGCTAGCGCGCACCTGCTGACAAACATATTCAATTGAGAAAATGCTGGCCGCTCAAGTTACAGCCCACTGAGAGCCCAAGTGTCGGCCCACCAGTGGGACGTCAGCTGGGCACCCACAAGCCCACGCGAGACCCAAGAGGGCCGTCTCCAGAGCCCCCGCGGCTTGTCAGTGAGCGCCCCGTGGGTCCACGGCGGACTGTCAGGGATTCCCTGCGAGCTGTCAGTGGGAACCAGGTGGGAGGGGGTGTCGGCAGGCTGCTCTGGAAAAGGATTGTCAGCAGAGGCCTCGGGCCCTTTTCTGCGCGGGGTGTCCCACTCGACCCCCCAGTGGAGGAAGTGGAGGACGCAGGGCGAGGGAGGAGGCCTCTTGACCCTCCCTCGTACAGTCGGGGCGATGACCTAAGGACCCCTAAATAAGGAACGAGGCCCCTTTTTTCCATAAGTTAACCTTCGATTTCCTGTCGAAAACATAAGGGAAGCCTGAGGAAAGCTGTGAAACACGTAAGGAACGCGGAGCCCCTCCCCAACGTAAAGGGTTCCTTCTTCAGGGCCCCGACTGTATGGGACGACTGCGTGCTGGCTCAGACCGGCCAGAGGGGGAGGAGGCGGCACGTGGCGGGTGTGGCCCGCCGCACATCAACAAGGGCAGCTGCGCTCGCGCTTCGTTCTGCGCGGAGCGCGAACCACTTCTCGCTCTCGCACCGCCCCGCCGGGGGAGAAGAGGAGGACGCGTAGGCTGAGGATGAGGCGTCGCGAATCGCGAATCGCGAATCGCGAATCACTTCGCGCCCTCGTGGCGGCCCTTGCATCAGCACGGCTGGAGGGAGAGGAGAGGAGGGTGGAGCCAGGGCGACTCGCTCGGCATAGAGCGCCTCGGGCGACGCTGCACGTGCGTGGCACTGCTGCCTGCGCACGAGCGCTGAGGGAGGGATCTCCGGCCTGTGGCGCGCGACACCCCAGGGCCGCGTGGAGGCAGGACGCGCAGCAGCGCTTGCTGGGAGACGGCGACCCGCGCCCGGCGGCGCGCACGAGGGAGCGAGGGGGACGGCCACCCGAGGAGGCCGGGGGGGGGCACGAGAGCCCTCCCAAGACGAAGCCAGGACGATGGTAAAACCGGGGGGGGATGCATCGATAATCTCTGAGATCCGGCGGCTCCAGGGGATGTCGCGGGCGCCGAGGCCTTCTCCGAGCGTTCCGGAACGCTCTGAGGGCGTTCGGGAACGCTCTGGAACGGATTTATCCTTGTCTTAGCCCCGTGCGATAAGCCCCCGGTCCCGGATGCCTTCCTCCTGAGACGCCCCCTCTCATGCTCAAGGCCACCCCCTCGCCCCACCTCGCTCCTGCGCGCTGCCAGCCCACGCCAAGCGTGCCGCTCGCGAGACCGTATTGGGCCTCCGATGGTCGGAGGAGGGCCATGGAGAAAACGCCTGCTCCCCCCCGCCCAGCCAAAAATCCGCTTCAAAGCTGCCTCCGGATCCCTTATTCTGGGGCCCACCCTGACCAAATCTTTTGGAGCGGATCTGGCCGTGGCGACAAGAACCCTCCACGAGGTCCCCCCCAAAAACGAAACAAAAACAGGAAGGGCCGCCGCTGTCTCGGCTGGCCCTCCTCCGAAATGTGGTGCACTTCGTTTCCGCACACCGGAGGGCTCACTGTCGGGGGTGGACAGAATGCCCTTTGCCAACACGCCCTGTAGTGGAAACTGCCAACGGCACTCGAAGTGCGCACGGCACCGCTTTCCGAGTGGTCCCCAGCGGGGTAGTTCGCCGAGGTCCAAGGCCAACCGAATGTATCCAGCGAAACGTACGTCGACGAGCGGAACCGACGGCGGACTGCACCGGCACACTCCAATGCCAATGTCGAGCGAACAGGTTCCTCGGTCGATCTGTCTGAATGGGCGTTCTCTCCTCCCCCCAAGCTATACACCACCAGTCGAGGGGAGCGCTCGTCCGGCCAGCGACCCAACCGCAGGGCCTCCGGCCTCCCACGGCGAGCGCGTGCACGACTAGCCGAGGTATTTGCCGAGCGCCGCCCCCAGGTCGCTCAGCTTCTGGGTGGAGTCGGCAACCACCTCGGCAGGGTGGCTCGAGTCGAGGGCCTAGGCTCGAGATCGTGCTGCGTGCGCGTTGGGGCACCCGCGGGCCTCTGGAGGCCCCTGGGGGGCCGCGTGGACCCTGGGAGGCCACCTCGCGAGGGACGAGGATCGAGCAGGGAGGCCCACCGCTGGACTGCCGCGCCGTGCGCGGAGCAGTGCGTCAACGGGGCCCTTCGCGGCGGGGGCCACGACTCGCACTCTGGGCCTCCAGCTGCCGCGCTGCCGCGGGGGCCTGCCGCGCGCGGCGCGCGGGAGCTCCCCGGGCCACCGCGCATCCCGGCCACGAGCGGGCTCTCCCCGACCTCTGCCCGAGGAGCGGCCCTGGAAGCCAGAGGCCCTCTCGAGCCCCGACGGCGGTCCTGCTGCTGCAGCGCCCCGACTGCTGCGCCCGCCGTGCGTGCAGTCGGGCTTCCCTGGACGGGGCACGCGAGAGGACACCCCGACCCTTCCAAGGGCCACGTTGCCGCAGGAATGCAGGAAGCACGGGTCGCGAGGCACAGGACACAAAGGGTACCCTTGATCTGGCAGGGTCGACCTACTGATCTTAGGGGGCAAACGAACCTACCTCGCTTTTGACCACCCTCGCTTCCAAGAGATACCAAGCGATGCCAAACTACGGCCTGAACTGGTCAGGCCGCTTGACGAGAAGGTGCGTGGTATGACTTGGTTTTGCCTGGAAGCGAAAGCGGGGTAGGTAATTCACGCTCTGAGATCTGGGCCGACTGCTGTGCCCGCCGTGCGCATCGAAGCCTGCTGCATCGGGCGCCTCGGTGCCGGCGTGCTGCACATCGGGCGCGGAGGGCGGAGGCGGCCGCGGGGGGCGCCCTCCGTCCGCCAGGGGGGGCTCTCGGCCGCGGTTTTCTCCGCGCGAGCTGCTCGAGCGGGCGAAGTCTGCTGGGGGCCTGGAAATGGGCACCAACACCAAGACAGGGGGTTGCCTCCACAGGGGGAAGATAATCCTAGATTTCGGTATTGGTGGTAATATTTCGGCCACCCTGGAAGTCAGAATATTACCACCATCACCGAGATCGGGATCTTCTTCCCTCGGTGGAGGCACACCGCCGACATTGGTGTTGGTGTCAACCTCCAGGCCTGCGAGTCTGGGCTCGCTCGCTCCACGTCGGTATCGAGGAGCTCCGCACGGGCGAGGTCTGGAAGGGAGGATGGGGTGATTTGGACGCCCGAAATCGGTACGGAAAAAATGGGCACGATGCCCAACAACAAATGTTGTCCCAAGCCAACAGCGGCCGCTGTTGGGCAGGCGGCATTCTGTCTCGAATGGACACAGGCCGCGGCGGCGTGGACAGCGAATCCTGTTCAGAGTGAACAGGAACTGCTGTTGGGCATTGTACCCATTCTTTCCGTGCCCATTTCGGGCGTCCAGAGGGTGAGGAAGGAGGGTGGGGAGAGGAGGGGTTGAGGACAGAACTGGTGGGAAGCAACCGGCGCCTCTGAGTGCAGGTGGTGTCACAGTTGCCTCGAGGTGGAGGCACGGGTCCCCACCCCCCTCCAGCCGTCTTCGCTGGCTGGGGGGGCCGTAGAGGGGGTCCTCGGCCCCCTCCAGTGCGAATTGACGGCATAATTGAAGGTTGACTAGTGGGGGCGGGAACTCAAGCAGCCCAATGGATGGAAGCTGCGAGGGGTGTGAGGCCTACTAACGGCCCTCACCGACGAGGCCAAATAACTTCTTCGCCGAGGGGAGGGGGGAGAGGGATGGAGGGGTGGGGCGCAGCGGCGATGCCGCCCGCGATGCGTTCTGGTCCTGAGGCGGGAATTCCTGAGTGGCGGGGGTTTGGTGGTGGGGGGTGGGGGGTGGGGGGGGGGCATGGTAAAACACAAAAACGGCATAAACAGTGCCGAAACTCCAAACTGAGTAGGCCCTGCGCACTCTGTACCCCACGGAGATGGGGATAACGAGTGCGCACGCTGACGCTCTGGTACCAGTTTGTTGCTTCCCCAAGGGCGGACGCAACGTTTCCCCCCCCCCCAGTTGCAAACCAAGGGCCCTGGGGACAGGAAGGAGGGGAGGGCAAGGGAGGCGCACGCATTGGTTCCAGTTTGTTGCGCGCCCAGGGGTGGACAAAACGTGCCCGCCCAGAGGCAGACCGAGAGCCCCGGGGACCGCCGCGCCCCGCCGAGAGCTTTCCCGAGGATGTGCGGGCATCCCCCGAATCAGTCCACCCAAAGCCCACGACGCGACGTTGCACCCGAGTCAAGGGCAGACGCCTTCGGCCACGTGGCCGGGACACGAAAGCTTGCACCACGTATGCCACGCGGGCCTTTGCGATCCCCCCCTCCCCGAGCGGGTTGGGGGGACGGAATGGGTCGAGGGGCATAGGAAAAGGCCCCAGGACGACGACGAGGACGAGGAAGACGGGCGAGGGGAGGAGCGGAGGAAGATATAGGTTGGGGCGCATGTTACGTCGCTCCTCGCGCGGCCACGGCGGTGGTAAGGTCCTGAAGCGGGATCCTGAGAAGGGCCACGTGAACATGATGACACTGCGGGGCGGGGGCGGGGGCGGTGGCCTTGAAAACCCAGGAGTGGAAGCCGACAAAAAGGCAGGGGCCCAGAACGGGAGCGGGTAAACGACGGCCACAAAAAGGCAGACGACAAAGGGGCGACACCGCGCGCGAACCGACCAGGTCAGGGGGGAAGCAGTGTCTTGGCAGAAAACAAGCAAATTCGACCCAGCGGGTTTCAGGAGGTAGACATTCACGGACACGACCGCACGAGTGCCACCACGGCACGAATCGAGCCGTCACCCTTGGAGGGCGATCGAGGAAGGAGAGCGAGCCGCTCGAGAAAGGAGGGATGAGGGAGGGCGATGACGATGAACGAAGACGGCCGATGCAGGGTGGGAGGGAGAATAGGGAGAGGAGGAGGAGGAAGAGGAGGAGGAGGAGGAGGAGGAGCAGGAGGAGGAGCAGGAGGAGGAAGCAGGAGGAGCGTGGGGAACTCGAGGGGGTCTTGCCCCGAAGAGCCCACAAAGAGGCTCTAGGAGGCCATCCGAGAGACCCCAGGATGTCTTGAACAGGCTCATGGCCAACGACCCAGGCACGGTGGCTGGATGGCAACAGGTGTGGCCCCAGGATCATCGAGCGCAACATGGTCCGTCCACGTTGGGCTCCAAGTCCTTGCATCTCTTGCTGCCTCCCACGCGCGCGCACACAACTTGCAAACGGAAAGCGCTTCCCCTGTGGGGCGAGGCCGTGGACCCTCCCTCAAGCACCCCCCCTAGCTAGGTGCGGTGACGGCGGACGCGCGCGGCAAACTCTCAAGAACGCGCACTAGTCCGGAGGCTGAGGCAGCGACCCCCAACGGCACCGTGACTCCGAACTTCTTGTTAAACAAGTTCCTCAGCTGGACCACCTGGCAGGATAGCCATGCCAGACGAGAGCGCTGGGGGAGGAGGCAGGGCGGAAGGGAGGAGGGAGTGTGAATCAGGGAGGAGCGAAGTGAGAGAGAAGGGTCGATACGGAGGATACGGCGGCCATCGACATCCGTACTCTCCTCTCCTCTTAATATCCATGCACATATTCCCCCTCCTCCTGCCTCCCTCCTGTACTCCCCCCCTCAATATCACGGTGCACATCCAGCAAATACGTTCTGCTTATCGCGTAGCTATGTGCTCGCGGTCTCACCGCTGTGTTACCATGGACCTGGCCATGGAGAAAATCGTCAACCCAGCGGTTCGTGCCCATACCGAGGTCGTGTTAGCTTATCTTGCTTATCGGTGGGGTTCTTTGGCGCCGCAGCACCTCGTGGACGAGACTTTCCAATGGGCCATTGACAATGTTCGAATCGGCACCTGCTGGGACAGTCTCCATGGCCCGGCGTCGACTACAGTGGCGACGCTCTTACGCCTGGGGTGGAGTTTCCAAACCACCACTGTCTGGATCAATCCGCAGGGCTTGCACATTGATATTTCTCTTGTTTCGCCCCGCGATGTCGAGAAGATGGTTGCTTGGGACACGGACACATGGGGCTGGCAGCAAACAGCTCCTCATCACCTTGTGCTCTCCCACCTTGCTGGTCCACCGTACTTACCTCCGCTTCGCACTCTAGTCAATATGACTACTCCGGCGTGGGGGAGACCTCAAGTGGTGGCACTCCGATCCGTCATCGCTGGGGCAGTGCATTTGGCCAGCACGTGTTCCTTCTGTGGGGCGGCTCATGCGGATGAAGTTTCTGCTATTCGTCACCTTCTCTGGGATTGTGACGGCACGCTGTCCGATCGACAGGCGTACGCTCTGCCAGATCACGTCGAGAGCGTTCGTGCTCGCTTCCCCGACGACCCGCTGTGGCACTCAGCCCTGGTTCCTGATCCAGAGCGGCTGCTGCCACATCCAGCTATGGAGTTGGACATTCTATGGTTCTTTTTCGGTGATCCTCAGGCTGCGCCTCTACTTACGTCTCCTGTCTTTGGCGACGGTTCAGGTCTCTATGGCCCTTCACCGAGAGCATTGCGCTGCGGCTTCTCTGCGGTAGCTGTGGGGCCATCTGGCGAGGCGCGCGTGGCCGCCTACGGTGCTTACCCCGGTGCTCATCAATGTGTGCCTGGTGCTGAAACTCTGGCTTTGCTAGTTTTCCTATTGCATGCCTTGCCAGATTCAAGTGGTAGCTATGTATATTACAGCGATTGCCAGTAAGTGGTGGATTCTTGACATGCCCCATCTTCTCACGTTGTCTCTGGTTGGAGTCCCCACTCGGGCATTTGGGCTCGCATTCACGCGAAAGCTGCCGACATTGGTTACGACAGCATTCAAATCTACAAGGTGAAGGCGCACCTCACTGTCTCTTCTCCTGCCCAGGCCGCCTGGCTGACAATGGGGAATGATCATGCTGACAGGTTTGCTAAGCTTGGTGCTCGGCGTCATCCTGTTGATGGAGCTGCCATGGAACGTCTGAGTAGGTCGCGTATTGTAGTAGAGCACATTGGCAACTACATAGGTTTTGTAATGTCTCGTATATTGCCGCGCCTCAATGAGTTTCCTCGCCCTCCCCGGGCCGTCCTCCCTCCATGTCTACACCCCCCAGCGGCTGTCGTGATGCCGCCTACGGGAGTCCCACATGAGTTAGCTTGGGACTCTTCTGTCCAACGCTTTCGGTGCATAGCCTGTTGGGCCTCCAGCCATTGCAAATTCGAGCTGTATAGGTCCGCTTGTCCTGCCCCTCATGGGTTCGGCCATGTGGTCATGCGTACTGGTAGGTACGTATTCTGTAAATTATGCGACGAATGTTGGACACCTTCACAAATTGTGTCAGGCGTCCAGAATCGAGCACCGCCAAGTACAGGCTTGGTGATTTGATGCAGGGACTGGACCCCAAGAGTAGACAGTCCACTGGTCCTGTGTTGCCAGCAGTGACGCGGCTATACGACGAGCTGGGGGACCCGTCGGTGGTGCCTCCTAGTCTGGCCTTGGTCCCCCATCTCGTCCCCTAATGCTTGGCTTCTGCTGGGGATTTGCGGCAAGCGCCACTCAGCAGTGCAATCTTGCAGCGGAGCGTTCGGCTCCCTCCCAGGTGTCGATTTGTTCGTCGGCCGTTTTCGTTGCCCACCGTACTCTCCAGTATTGGGGCCTGTCCGGGGTGAGCGACTCGTGCAACGCGCGGTCGCCCCTTCTTCTTGTTTCACTGATTCCCTTTTTCTTGGACCTGCCTCTTCGGAGGCAGGCCACCGTCCTAGTCCTAGTCCTCCCCTCAATATTTATCCTTTCTCCTCCCCCTCCACAACTTCCTTCCTCTGTCCCTCTCTCCCTCCGCCTCCTCCGCATCCTCTTTCCTCCTCCTCCTCTCTCCTCCTCCTCCTCCGCTTCCTCCTCCTCCGCTTCCTCCTCCTCCTCCTTCTCCTCCTCCTCCTCCTCCTCCT